TCATTAGAAATATATAAGGCTGGAATTGTGTCAAAATATGTACTAAAAAAATATATGAAATTATTTATCTTGAGACCATTACTCATTTTGCTAACTCGAATATGAGTTTTTTTATTATTAGCAGTTAACAAGGACTGAAAAATATAATGTTTTTGGGGCATTTACATACATACCTCCAAATTCTTGTGTTTACATATCTAGCACCTTAGCTTTATTTTTTACATTTATACCATGAAAATCTTTCATATCACATCAAAAATATCACTGTTTTAACTTTTGAAAAGTGTAATACATTTTTTCATGCATAGGTAAGACGACATATATGTAGTAATTGAAGTTTAGGTATTTGTGTAAATCTTTGAACAATTTAATGCTAAAATTATATTTTTTACATGTTAATCTATAGTAGGTATTTATAGAGGTCTCATTAGTATTTTGCTCAATCACTGAGCAAAAGTTTGTAGTAAAATAGGGATAATTACGTACGAAGCACAAGAAACATTGCTATTTACAAATCAAGCACCTAGATGATTTTTAAACTATCAAACTGATGCATTCACGCTTTCCACGATCAAACCATTGTGATTTTGATAAAAATAAAAAATATGGGTTGGGATTTTATCATGATCTTTGATACTTGAGTGAGATTTTGAAAAATGAATGGAAGAGGGTGCTTGATTTGTAAATAGTAATGTTTTGGGTGCCTGTATGTAGACGCTCCACTAAAATTTATTATATGGATTAAAGCAATTTTCAAAGGCATTGTTTGGAAGAATTGCGACAATAATGCTCAACCCGGGATAAAACTCGAGTAAGTTGGCCTAATTTTATTTTTGAAGCACATAGACTTTACAAGGAACTTACATTGTTGTTTCTGTTGATTACATCATCGTAATAAGTGGTGACTTGGAAGATGTATAGATTTTAAATGAAAGTTTTCTTTAAAAATATGAATTCAAAGAATTGGGTAAGCTAAAGTACTTGACATTGGGGTTTTACTCTCTTGACAAAGAATTTTTTTATTGTCACAGAAAAACATAATAGAGCTACTGAAATAAACCTGTATTAAATTTACTTACAAATTTGGAGATGGTCTAAAAATGAGAGATTGAAAAAATATCATATCAAACACTTACGGGAAAATTAATTGATTTATCACAAACTAGACTTAACAGTGTTTATATTATTGGTGTGGTAAGTCAATCCATACACAATTTTAAGAGTCAAACTTTAGGGTTGTACATTAAATTTTATAATATTTGAAAGTAACTTCAGATAAAGTAATTTTATTTAAGTGGGGGTAGGGTATGAAATTCAACAATACATACATAAATTTATTCTATTAATTTTGTCCAAAAACCATGACATGAATCATTTTGATCATTGTATAAAGAATATGGTGTTGTTTGGAAGCGACGCTCTGTATGTCCTGAATACAGTGAAAAGTATGCAAAGGCCACTACACCGACGCCCGATTGTAGTGTCAAATAAGCAATGGTTCCCACATTACGAATGAATGTTAGTAAAGAAGTTAGTCTATGAAACTAATATTAGGATATGATCCTGTAATCTAAGTACTTTCACATGTAAATTAATGGAATGAGTTGATATTATGATTCAGGGAAAGATAAATATCTTATGTATTCAAGAAACTAAATGAGTTGTTGTTGATATTAATATTTTTAATATTATAATTGCTTGTACTCCTAAAGTAGGTTTAAATATAGGTTCTAAAGATAAATTTTGGAATGACCTAAATAAATTAATACAAATGATACCTTTTGAAGAAATAATTTTTATTAGAGGAGATTTAAATGGACATGTTGGTAGAGTGATAGAAGATTTTAGAAATATTTGTGATTGCTACGGTTTTGGAGTGATTATTGAAGAAGTAAGAACCATATTAGATTTTATTTTAGCGTATGATTTTATTATTAGTAATATTTTATTGAACAAAAGGGATGAGCATATTATTAATTATAAGAATGAATCTAATAAAATACAAATTGATTATTTTTTTATGAGAATAATAGATTGTCGAAAATGTAAAAGATTGTAAGGTCATTCCATGTGAGGATTTAAGTACTCAACATCAATTATTAGTTCTAGATTTTAAGATAAATTGTAAAATAAAGAGTACTAGAAATCATTGTCGTAGAATTAGACAGAGGCACCTAATGACACAAATAAAATTATTTTTATGAGTTATCGTCAAGATTCAAGTGTTCATGAAGAAGTAAATTCTATGTGGGATAAATTAGCAAACACTATTAAAAGAAAAAATTTCTATAAATAAAAAATAGTTAGTGGTTGAATAATAATGTGCAAGAAAAGATAAACTATAAGAAGTTATGTTATAAAAATTGGTTTAAATGCAAAAATTTAGAGGACTGAGAAAAATGTAAAATGATATGTAGGGAGTCTAGAAGAATAATCTGTGACGCTAAAAAATTTGTTTTTATTGATTTTTATAATATATTAGATACTAAAGCAGGTGAATATATATGAATTAAAGCTGAAAATAGCAAAAGATATCAACATAGGTGGGTGTGTTATTTTGATAAACTTTTTAATGAAGTTTTGAAAATACGATCGACCTTAGCATTCCTAATATCATTAATGATAATAAAATGTTTCATTTTTACCTTCATATTAGTAAAAAAGAAGTTGAGGGTGCTTTAAAAAAAATCAAGGATAGAAAGTCCATAGGACTTGATGATGTCCCAATTGAAGTGTGAAAATATATTGGAGATTTGAGAGTTTATTGTCTTACTAAACTCTTTAATATTATTTTAAAAACTAAAAAGATGTTTGAGGAGTGGAAGAGCATTTTGGTCTCCATTTTTAAGAATAAAACGGATGCACAAGTGCGTGCAAATTATGAAGGATTTAAGTTGATGTGTCATACTTTAAAATTATGGGAGAGGGTAATTGAACATAGATTAAGACACATTACAATGATTTCTCATAATCAATTTGGATTTATGTCAGACAATTCTACTATTGAAGATATACATTTATTGAGCGGTTTGATGGAGAAGTTCAGAGAATAAGGAGGAAAATTTAGAAAAAGCTTACGATAATCTTCCAAGAGCTATCCTTTGGAGAGTTCTTGAGAAGAAAGGTGCTGATATGACTTATATTCAAGTCATTAAAGATATGTGTACTAGAGTTGTTACTTGTGTTCAAACAGGAGGATTGACCAAATATTTTCCTATTTCAGTTGGATTACATCAAGAATCGGCTTTAAGCTTATATCTTTTTGCTTTAGTTATGGATGCTCTTACTGGAGGATGAACCTTAGTGTATGTTTTTTGCTGATGATATCCTTCTCTGGATAATACTATAGAAAAAGCTCAGGAAAAACTTGAATTATGGAGGTCTACATTGGAGTCTAAAGACCTTCGTTTTAATATAACTAAAACTGAATACATGGAAATTTAATTTTAGTAATGTAGCTCTAGTGACAGGGTTGTAACTATGGGTGATCAAATTATTAAAAGGTGTGAACACTTTAAATATATCGGGTCTATCGTTCAAAGTGACGATGATATAGATGGGGATGTTATTAATAGAATTTAGGTTGGTTGGTTGAAGTAGAGGAATGCTTTGGGCCTATTGTGTGATAGAAAAGTACCGCTTAAATTGATAGGAAAATTTCATAAGATGGTGGTGAGATCTGCAATGCTCTATGGCGCTGAATGTTAGCCTTTGAAAGAGAAGCATAAAACTAAGTAAAGATTTGTCGAGATGGGAAAGATTAGGTGGATGAGTGGCTTTACAATTATAGACAAAATGCGAAATGAATATATCCGTGATAGGGCTGTTGTAGCTCCAGTGGAGGACAGAATTAGAGAGAGTCATCTTAAACGTCGACCATTTGATGCTCCGATTAGGAGAGTAGATGTTTTAGATTCGACTTGTGTTAAGAAAGACAGAGGTAGACCTAGAATGACTTGGACATATTGTATAAAAAATGATCTTAATTTATTAGAATTAAATAAAAATATGACACTCAATAGGGCTCGGTGGAGAAAAATGATTCATATAGCCGACCCCCCTTAGTGGGATAAGGGTTTTTTGTTGTTGTTGGGGCAGGATATGCCAATTATATGTTTTATGGTTGATAGGAAGTAAACTTCTGAATATTACACATTTTTAAAGATGCAGCCTTGCGACTTAGAAAAATAAAAGTGGAAGCCAAATTTAGGTTTATGAAACCAGGGGTTTATAAAATTTTATGGCTAAATATTTTTTTTAAATTTTTTAAGGTTGAATGGAAATGTCCTTTGTTGGGATGACCAGTCACCTTCATTTCTGAGAGAATATATTTAAGTGGGTGTTTTTATAATGAAGAAGCTGGACATTTGTTTATTCTGTACTCCGTGTGTGATTACAAATATCCAACTTGTACATTCTCTCTCAAGGACTTTTACTAATAATATTTCAAAAGTTGACATGCAAGTTTGGTTGGAATGAACAACATCCATTTTTTCATTTGAAGGGCGTGAAAAATAAATTTCCCATAAGTTATGTCTCCACTAATTGTATATCTATCAATATTTCATCGAGCCCAATAATTCTCAATCTTCCATATTTGCTTAACGCCACTTCATGGGATTATTACAGTCACCTCATAACTTCCTAAACTATCCTAATTTTTCTGCTTACTCATCAATTTATAGACTGCTATATCTATTCTTCCTTGGTTTTATATTTAGGTTATTAGAAGCTCTCCTGGGATATATAAATACTACAAAAATCTTGTAGTAAAAAAAAAAAACATCTAATTCTCTCAATTTTTACCATCTTTTAAGTATTTTACATATTATTTGTGCGTGCATTTCAGTTGCTACCTTTGAAACTTATTGTCTGCTTAAATTTTTGTTTTTGATTTGTTTCATTTCTCTGTAATATTAAGTATCATATAAAATACCATCGAGTTTGTGCTGTGTCCATACTTGATCACCCAATTCATCAGTAATGATATTCTTTTTCAGGTTAGCTTGGTCCCATACAACCCCAACAGCCCCGATGTGTCAGTTCTTTGGACTGAGAGCAAAGACTTGGGTGATGGTTTCCGTTGCATCAGGATGGTGAACAATATTCTCCTGAACTTTGATGCATTTAATGGAGATGAAGAGCACGGCGGAGTTCATGATGGAACCTTTATTGTTCTCTGGGAATGGCTCAAGGGAAAGAACCAGAGGTGGAAGATTGTTCCTTACTGTAAGCGCTTCATAGGCCTAACAAACTAAACCAGTTTTCTTACTGGAAGATTCTTCATGATTCACCATTTTTTCTATTTTGAATTGCAGGGATACTTAACTTGCTTATTTTTTTTAATGCAGGTTAAATCTGAGGCTACAGACAGGTAATACTTATTATGTATGAATAAACTTGTTTTATGATGTTATGATGTGCTAATATGCAACAGTTTGTTTTGGCTGCTTTACCAATTTGGACGGTAGGTAACAAATTTGGTGCGGTTGTTTGTCATTAAACTTATCTTAATTAACCTATTGTGATGGAGAGGTACTTTTATGAATTACAGATGAATTGGCTTCATGTGCTCTTTTGCCTTTCATTTAAAATAATTTCAGAGCTTCAGCTATTGTTTTTTGGAAATAATTTGTTAAATGGTTGCCATTGTTAATAAGGTCAGCATGTGATCAACTATGGTACTCTGTTGATGATTACATCATTGTTTGTCATTGTCACTAATATCGACATCTAATGTTGCATCAAAATTGATTCTTGTTCTCAACGTCAATGATGACACTCGTATTTGCAAACAAGATCGATGATAGTTGTCAATATCAATGCTAATGTTGGCCATTAACGTTAATGTTGATGTTTGTAGTCACAACAAAGGTCCACTATTACCCTCAACACTAATGCTATCACCAACAAGGTTGATGTCGTACATTGATATTTACATATACGGTCTTCACATCTCCCAACTCTGACATATGTGGTCTGCGAAAATTATTACGATTAGCACTAATGTTGATGTTTGTAGTCACAACAAAGGTCCACTATTACCCTCAACACTAATGCTATCACCAATAAGGTTGATGTCGTACATTGATATTTACATATACGGTCTTCACATCTCCCAACTCTGACATATGTGGTCTGCGAAAATTATTACGATTACCACTATATGGTCTATGTGATTAATTACGGCTTACAGATTTGACAACATATGTTGCGCTAAATCTTCAGATGTTATTGTGGCTCACCATGACGACCCATGTGTTCCACAGCTCTGCAACCTTCAATTCCGACCTCTGAGTCCTATGGACGTTATTGCAGCACATTTAGCTATCAATTTTGGCTTCTGCATTCTACGGACATCATTGCAGCTACTACTACGACCCACACAACCAACTACGACTTATGTGACCCAGCTTATGCAGCTCCTTCTACAACATCTGTGGCAAATCGACGCCCACATGGTTTATTATCATGACTTTGAACTACGAGCTCTACGATAAGTTGGTGCTATAGCCATTTTCTACCACGTTGACGGTGGGCTATTGCCTCCATAACAATCAACTGCGATATTTGCAACCTACTATCACCGAGTTACTTTTATTACAACAAAATTATGATTATTATCGATGAACTACAATTGTACATTTTCAAAGATCAATTTTGAATGGACGTGTACACTCATCATTTATAGTGGATTATTTTAACAAGGCCTGACCCCATGATTTTTCTCTTTTTTAGAGTTTTCTACTAAAAATCGAGGTGTTTTCTTCTGTTTCTTTTTAGTTACTTGAGTGTGTTGGATTTTCGTACAACGCAAAGACATTAAATAATCACTCTATCGTTGCTAAACTTTCAACACATCAATTTGGCATCGTTTGTTGGAGAAGGTTCCATTTGGTACAATCTTGAAGTTCGTAATGTCAAGCCTCTTCATCGTATCCCAATGATATACATCTTTAATTGGTGGGATGTCAACCATATTTCCAAGAAAGAGTACGGTTGATTGCAACTTACACCCAATATCGAGAAATACATAAAATTTTTCACCCCTCATTTGGGCTTAATCGATACCAAATGGACTTGATTCGACCTTTTCCATCACAGGTTACAGTCATCAAGCAGAAACTTCTACTAACAGTCTCAGATATATAAAAAATTCTTGGTGGTTTTCATAAAACTTTATCCAACACAAGTTAATGTCGTGAAGCGAATGCTCTAGCTATACAATCTAGGATGAGTCTTATATCTTTCATGGATTCTCTTTTTGATTATGTTTCAATATAAGTTAACGTCATTGAGCATCTCAGGCTATACAACCTAAGATGAGTTTTACATCCTTAACAGATTCTCCTTCTGACTATGTTTCAATACAGGTTAATTTCATCGAGCATCTTCGATTATTCCACCTAGGATGGATCTTACATCCCTAAAGAATTCTCCTTTCAACTATGTTCTAATACATGTTAACAGTGTCGAACATCTTTGACTATACAACCTAGGACAGATCTTACATCCTTTATGGATTACAACAGACTTCTTTCACTGTAGGCTGCAGTCATTTAGCATATGCACTTTGACTAAACAACCTAGGAAAAAACAAGCATTCTTGTAATTATCCAGGAAATGGGGGCAGCCACAACTCAAATGGATGGGCGAAAGCAGCCTCATAAGTAACATCAAAGTTCTTACTACATCAAGTAGAGGACAGACGTAAAGACAAATGCCCTATCACCGTATACAAATATCATAAAGCAGACAAAGAGTTACATAAATCAACACACTACCACAATAGCACAAAATCATCAACAAGTTAGTAGAAGAAAAGATATCGATCCACTTCACCATCCTCATCATTGTCAGAAGATCCGTAGCTTCATGTTCTCTTCTGCAAGAGCTAACATCATTGCTTGAAAAGCTTGCATAGTCTTTGTGTTATGTTCAAGAAGTTATTCACCTTCTTGTGCTTGCCTTGGAGGTGGTCGATCTTGTTAAAGCTCAGTCTTCCATGCCCTCAAAGAAAGGACTAGCTCATCTTCAAAGGATAACAACATTGCCTTCTCAAAATTATGTTACTTTTTTTATTCTTAAGGGTGAGGGAAATTCCCGGATGCGACATGTCGCAACATCGGAAGTCTCCTTCAGATAACACTGTGGCAGTGGGGAGACCAAAGAATCTCCTTCGAAATGTATAACGAGGAAACTCTAACTTTTCTTCATGAAGGATCCCTTTGGTAATACACAACAGGGAAACTCCATTTTTCCTTCAAGAAAAATCTATCTAGATTGCACAACGGAGAGACTCCAAATCCTTCTTCACCTTTCCTCTTCAGGCTCCAAAAGGCTTAAAAGTACCTTTAGAATGCATAGTAGAACATTTCTGGCCTTTCTTCATCTCATTGGGCTCCCTTCCTTGATTTGCTTGGGCCTCGTTCTCCACCCTCTTGCTCCTCCTTGACTTTGGCTCCCCCTTTTATCTTCTTCCTTCTTCATCTTGCTACTCCTTGTGCCTCTTTCTTCTCTTTCTCCACCTCTTCCTTCCCTTGGGCCTCGCTCTTCACCTGGCTGAGGTCCTACTCCCCTTGGGCCCCATTTTATAGACCCTAAAGGCCAAAATCTTAGCTATTTTCGAACCTATATAAATCTTATTTCTGCCTAATTTGGGCCCCAAGATCTGTTTCCCTAATCGGGGCCTTAAGATCTACCCTGTCCCTTGATTTGCCTATACCAAACCACCTTCCCCGTGCCATTGGATCCACCGCTATCTGAATCTCATCTAGATTGCCGACATGGCGGGCCCTCCAAATTGTGGAATGGCATCACATGGCTAGCGGGTGGGCCCTGTCAGTCCAACATCCAACCCATCCACCAACGACGAGTCCAAGCCTCCAGCCTAGCACGCTCTGTCCTCATGCCTACTAACCCACTGACATGCAAGCCCACATGGATTCTAAATCTGACAAGCTTATAATTAATTTGAGTGTTTTGACAAGAAGAATTCAACAAGCTCAATATCACTCAATTCTGACATTATTAAAGCACTCAAATGTCCATAGAACGATGTTCAAACGAGGAAATCTTTTCGGGCTATCTAATTGGAGTGGTCTGGATTCCTTCTTTATTCCCTACTCCTTTCTTGAGAGGGGAGCTAAACATTGGACCAGAGGAAAAGACCTGTACTTGGAATAGATCCCTCGTGTTCTACACTGAAAGTCCAGTGTATGCTGCCCTCTACTGTAGCAGTCAACCACTGTCGACCACTGCTTGCTGACCACCATCGACCGCCACTTCCTCGTCGTGACAAAGCCTTTTTTGGAATCACATGCGTTGCGACATCCCAACATACATTGTAAAATAGCACAACACCTGGTGGACCAGTACATCATTTTAAACATAATGTAAAAATGTGTCCTGAATATGGTGTAACAACACATTTGAGGACAATGTAAGAACACACCTTGATGATGACGTAACAATGCAACCCGATGCATTACGAAAATAGTGCAACAACAGACTCTAAAGATAGTACAATAACTCATCCCTGGGATAGTGTTACAATGTACTCTGCATGTGATGACCCTCTCTAGATTTCTGAAGTTCTTTCCTTATAGCTTTATAACTACGATCTATGTGGAAAATTGTGGTCTATAGGTCCATAACTCGTGCAGCTCTCAATTCTGACATTTTTTGTCTACAGACGTTATCACAACTCGTGCAGCTCTCAACTCCGGGCTCTATGACCTACGTATGTTATCACAGCTTGTGAAACTTCCAACTCCAGTCTCAGTGACCTACGAACGTTATCACAGCTTTTGCAGCTCCCAACACGACCTTTGCGACTTACGAGCGTTAAAACAACTCGAGCAGCCCCAAATCGGGGCTCCACATCCTACTGACATTATTGTGACTCCCCACTAAGTCCTATGTGGCCAACTACGCCTTACGCGACTTACAACTTGTGTAGCTCTAAACTCAGGCCTTTGCGGCTGATGAACGTTATCTCGGCTCATGTAGCTTCCAACTCCGAACTTTGCAGCCTATAGATGTTATCATAGCTCATGTGGCTCTCGACTCCAACTTCTGTGGCTCACAAACTTTATTATAGCTCACCACTACGGTCTACGTGTTCTACAACTCATACAACCCCCTAACGCCAGCCTATGTAGCCTACGAAAATTATTGCAGCTCACCACTACGAACTGCATGATTATGACCTACGTGTTTCACAACTCATACAACCCCCAAATCTAGCCTTCGTGGCCTACAGTATTATCGCTCAACTACAACCTATTTGACCATCTACGACCTCCGTGACTCACAGCTCGTGTAGCTCTCAACTCCAACCAATGTAGCCTACAGACGTCATTGCAACTCATCACTACGATCCACACGACCCACTATGACCTACGTGACTTAATTATGACCTAGGTGTTCCAGCTTAAGCAACCCCCTAATGTCAGCCTTCTTGATCTACAAAAATATTGCAGTTCACCACTACGACCTGCGTGACCAACTACGACTTACGTGTTCCACAACTCATACAAACCCTAA